AAATTAAAGATTTTGTAATAGTATACTAGACTCTCGCAGAGCGCTAGTGTGGCGTTGTAAATTGAATTCCTGATAGCCATGATGAGACAGCCAAGTGGGCGCCAAGCCGGATTGGAACTGGATTTAATTATCATTTGTGTGTTTTTGCGGAAGGGAAGATTATGTAAGATAAGACGTAAAATGGTGAAGAATCGCGTGGCTTACGGATGTACAAATCGTGCGACGAAAGTCTGTACGTCGTAATTTAACAAGTACATTATTTAGCTGATGTAGCCTATTGAATGTGCTAGCAACTTTTACTAATTAATATGTCCGGGAATAAGAATGAAATCGATGTATTTTTAATTGCACGTGAATGGCATTAATTTAACTCTGTAATTTACAAGTTTTTTCTGGGATTTTTCAATTTCTCTAAACTACACAAAAAATTACATTATCTAAAATTCAAATGCAATAGAGGTATATTGAGATTTCTATTTAGAGATTGACGGAAACTGCATGCATGCAGTATACCAAACTTTCGTATATATTGGAAGCGTATCAATGAATAACTTTTTTATGTTTATAATTTAGTAAAGAATTCTAAAAATTCAGCGTAATGTGTTGTAGGCCTACCCTTTTTCTGAAGAAAGATGGACATTTAGTCAAGAAATGCCATTTTTAACGGAGTGTGAATTAGAAAATTGCACTTTAAAAACGATTACAAAAGTTCCCGAAAGAAATGTCTCGAAAGTACTACTATTTGAGAATTTGGGTGGAAAAGTATCCCCACCTATCAAACTCACATAATTTCATGAAAGTATCCTCAGTGAGTTTAATATAAAATATGAAACATATGAATAATATGAAATTATCACGGACTGGACAACTTCATGGCGTATTCCATTCAAATACATTTTTGGGGTAATATATTTGCTAATGGAATGCTTATTTTTTGCTTATTTGAATATGCTTATTTTTTGCTTTCAAACATACTGTTACAAGCGTCCAAAACTACGTGGGTAAAGCGCTTTAAACAACAGAGAGCTTTCTAAATCTATATGATAAATTATACAGAATAAAACAGAGATACATACAATTGTTGACTTTTGAATGTCAAGTTTTGCATATCTTACTTTTAAACAAGAAGTTAGTATTTCAATACGTCTTAAGACATTTGAAATGCTGAAAAGTGTTAAAAGTTCCTAGTATTTGAATTAGGCGCGAAAATTTGCTCCCAACATGGCTGCCAGCACAAGCTTTAATTTTCAACTGGGAAGGACGATCATTACCATAGGATTATGGGGCCTTGCCAAAAACTTTTGAGATTTGAGGGAACTTCAAAAGATATCGTTGTAAGCATCTATGTCTGCAAATGCAATAAATTATAAAATATTCTTATCATGTAATAATTAGTGACGTGTGAAATATTATAAACTAGTGATGCTACATCAGCACATACTTCCTCGCAACAATACAATGTAATTATTATGTACGACAGGACGCCCGTATAGGCTTCATTAATTTCAAATAGTAATTATGGGTAAACTACCAACTTAAAAATTGTTCATGACCTTTTTTAAAGAGCTAATTTTGTACAATAAACTTTATTGATAAATCTCTATTTTCAATTTGGTACTTTTTATTATTTTGCAATTTTTGAAAAACTCAAGCAATACTCGAAAATATGACTGACTCCATATTTTTTATCGTCCCATATTACATAAGTGTAGAAAATTTAAAGAAAAAAGTTGGAGCAGTGTTTGAGAAAAAATTGCGATAATTTCAAGCGCAAATTACAGAAAAGCTACTCTCTTTTTTAATTCTAAATTTCTATTTTTAAAAAGCTTATTTGGAACAACATACTCGTACATTGTCTGAAGTAAAAATCTCTATCTTCAATTTTGTAGTTTTAATTAATTTATTGATTTATTTTTTGCAATTTTCGAAAAATCGGGAATTTTAACGAAAATGAGACCTGCGCCGTGGTCTTAAATGTCCTTTGCGCTACTCAACTACTTGTTTAATAAAAAAATTTGGAGCCTTTTTTTAAATTTTGAAAATGTTCGAGAAGCTCCATGTAAATTACTTTTTAAAATTAAAATATTGGTTTCAATGTCCAGGGGCTGCGACATCAGCCAGAACGATTGAGGAATATCAATTTTCGAGAAAATTGGTTGAACGGTTTACTCGTATGTGTTAGAATTGTGCACAGACAGATGGACAGAAGGACGGACAAACAGACGTTTTGCCGTTAATCGATTTTGCGGTACGAATGATGCACTAAACATGGATTCTGGCAACACAACGTGTTAGAGGAATTTGTTTTCTATATTTTGTAACTGGATTTATTCACTTTTTCGTTACCAGGGCTCGGTAATACGAGTTTTTGTGTCGAAAATTCGCTGTTTTAGGTGCACGATTACAAAACTTTTTCTTCTTCCGTTAGTAAGTGCAATTCAAAGTTGCGAATTACGACTTTCGGCCAAATTCTAACAAAGTTACTAAAGATAAGTAACTTGTTGAACTGTCACCTGTTTTGATGTGTTCGACCAGGTTATTCCTTAAGATGTAGTGGTGTGGGATATTCCGACCAGCTCAGAAGCAGACCTAAGATAAAAACAAACGATCGGCCGCGGTCCATTGTCCATTTGGTAGAACACTGCTCCGGCATTCGCTTGGGATTGATCAGAGAATTCGCGGAAAACTACCGATCGGAGCAGGTGGTCGCTAGAATTCTCCTCCAGGCAGCAACTGAACCCGACTTATCTGGCTAGTGTCTAAAATTCTGCCAACGCCGGCAATCGAACCCCAGGACTTCTCGACCAGAGGCACTGCAGTGACATCAGTTGATGCCCTGAGCCACCTCTCCCGGTGTTCGTTTTAAAGGTCACTGATGCCGCGAAAGTGTTTTTCAAAATATCTCTCCTGTGTGTTATTCTTTTGAATTATCTCCGATGTCGTTATTATTTACATGACAGTTCTTTTTAATTTCATGTACTTCGGAGATGAGGTGCTCCTCAAGACCTGTGACGCACATGCACCTCTAACTTCCTGCCTGCCCATCTTGCTGATCTTATCAACTCCAAATATAAGAATAGGTAAGCTTTGTTTCAGTCCAAAAACGCGAAGTTCTATTCCAGCTGGGTAGCAATTGAGATGTCCAAGCCAAATGTGATAGTGCCCGGTCATCATTATCAGACGATTAGTTTTTCCTTGATGTTCTTAATACTTTGGAGAACTTCAGCCCTCAAGCCCTCTTTCACTTTCAACTATTATTTCCTAGCCCGTAGAAATAATTAACTTGGTAGGCTACAAGCGTTTAAGGGGAATTTACTTTCACTCCACGTCATCAGTATTTCATCGTCTTTTTAACCAAATACTGAGTGTCATCTCACCCGTTGCTGTCATTGCAAATGTCGCGAGATTAAATATACAACCATGCATTATCTCAGCTTCTAGTCTCGAGAATTTCAGTCTGTCTGTCAATACGTGATAATACGTCAGTAATCGCTTGTCGGAGTCATATAAAATATAATTTAGTAAATTAACGTCATCAGTAATTATAATATTAATATCTATTATAACTGTACTATTAATTATGTACTGTAATTATAATTATACTATTAATTATTGTACATATAGTTTTTACAACCAGCCTTGGGATTGAGATAAAAAAATCGATCAGCCTCCCCAAGCCATCCCATAACTTCGTGCTTACACACGTTATCTAGGCAGAATTTTATACGTCACTACGTTTTCCATTATTTCTTCAAAAAATAAATTATTTATTTTTGTATCCAGAAAGTAATTTTGTACACATTCCTATACATATTCTTTGGACCGACTAGACTTCCTCCTTTCGGGGAAAAAGAACAGTCCAGCTGTGCAGCCCGTTCTCCCAATATGTAAATAGGGCAAGATGCCCAAACGTCCTCCTCTGAAATCTGTAAATTGAATGTGGCCCACTATACTATCATAGTCCAAACTTCAAAAATTCCAAAACTTCAAAGACTCGTAAATGTTCCAGTGGGCTTCATTGAAGCGTGTTTCTACATGGTCTTCAGGTTGAAAAAAGGGCTGAATTCATACCCAGGCAAGGGTTCTTTAACATGGACTATTCCACTCGTAAAATTAAAACCAATAGTGTTCTACTATACACAAAAAATGCCCCAATCAGGGCGGTGTAAAGTTTATCACTTTTTCTAACCCATTTTTCTTACTACTTCTTCCGACTGTCCGATCATATACTGTGATTCCTCCATGATAAGAGGCGATATATATTGATAGTCCAAAAAACGCGTGTGTACTATAACATAAGCTTTAACTTTCAGATACTTTCAATATTTGGCGCATTTTGGAACTCTGTTGGACATAATTTTATTCGTGGAATAATACTATTAAATACTACTCGTGTTTTGAAAATTCTCCCTCCTTGCTTGGCGACTCGGAGATTTACGGACAATTTCCAAAGCACTCTTGGAATGACTGTCGTACTAATGACAATGTTATCAAATCCTTGTAATTTGCATGTTTTTTTTACTGACATTCTCCTTGTATTCGTTGTAAACCCTAATGAAATTTAAATAAATGCGCCATGTTCATCTTTACATTTTTCCATTGATCCAACCAATGGTACAAGCATGGAAATGTTCAAGGAGGAAGCACAAGTCAAAGATATTTCTAGATGACGGTTGCGCACCAATGGCGCCTATAGTTCAGCTAGTTAACTAACGAGCGTGCTATATTTAACTGCGCTCATCTGTTCGCGTTATGGAAAGCCTAGCTGTCAGATTTGATAGCTAAGTAGAAGTTGTGATACTGTAACCTAATGATCCAATATGTGTCCATAGGTGTGCAATACTTCAAGTCGACGATTTTGTTTACTTATACAAGTTATCATAAGGTTGATAACGCGTAACCTGAGCAGTGATGAGGTTATGTTGATCATGGTTGATTAGCACAGCAGATAACATAGCAAAACTGTATTGTTCTTGGTTACTGTAATAAAATTTAACACAATGAGTGTCAAGGCGTTCGAGTGTATCCCTGTAATAGAAACATTACAATTACAAGGAGAAAAGGCTCATACAAAAATTGAGTGTGTTGATTGTAGTGGGAATGTTTTGTACATTGGTACAAGTGATGGTTTCATCATAACACATGCTGTTGAAGAAAGAATTCACTCTTCAGGTAGACTATCCTACAGTACTAAACAAATAGCCCATAAATGTATTGATGTAAGAAAACCTATCAAATGTATGAAAGCAGCTCTAGCAATTACACGGTTACTTGTATTATGTAATTCCAACTTTTATATTTTAAATATGTCTGACTTGGAAGTTTCAGGTGATAGACCTAAGTTAAAGGATGTTGTAACATTTTGTGCTAATGAAAGTTTCCATATGAATGATACATTCAGCATACAAATATGTGTAGTGAGAGCAAGGCGTTCTCTGCAAATTTATACTGTTTCAGACGATAAGATGAGTCTCATAAGAGATGTAAGTTTGGATGAACCTATTCAGGAAATTGCTATGAATGGTTTTCATATTTGTGCAGCTTTGAGGACCCAATATGTTATTCATAATCTTCAGGATGATCAGACTCAGATGTTGTTTACATATGATAATGACAGAATTGTGCCTGTAATATGCAGTATTTCTAAAGATGAATTTCTTATGAATGTTGAAGATGTAGGCATGTTTGCCACCACAATGGGTATATCCACACGTACACCCATACAGTGGTCTTATCCTGTTATTTCTCTGGCATATTTTCACCCATATGTATTAGGTCTTAGTGATGAGGTTATTATGGTTTATAGCATTTTAGATCAACAACAGAAGCACACTAAACAAGCTTTACCATTTGCGGGTGGGCGATGTCTTGTAAAGTGTGACAGTGGTCTTTTTGTAGCTTCAGGCTCTTCTGTATACACATTGATACCTGTGCCCTGGCAGAAACAAGTTGAAGTTTTGCTTGCTGATGAGAGGGTGGATGAAGCTTTAAATCTGGCAAAAAATGCTAGACCTGTTGATCTCAGCAAAGAACAGTTTCACAGAATATATAGAAAAATACAACAACAAGCAGCATTTATTTATTTTGCAAAATGTGATTTTGATAAAGCTCGGGAATTGTTTAAGTGTAGTAAGGTCGATGTTAGAGAAATTATTTCTCTTTATCCTGCATTTCTGCCTTTATCATCATCTTTCAACCGGGCTGTACCTCCTCTACATGGTATTGCAGATGTTGTTCAGCTATATCATGGAGACAAGACAAAAGTTAAAAATGCCCAGAATTTTCTGTTGCATTTGCTAAGAGATATGAGAGAAAGTGGAAATAGTAAACATAGAGAAGAAATTGATACTGCTCTTCTAAAATTGTATTCGGAGTTAAATCCTCTTGAATTAGAAGCATTTATTGTAGCAGGAGAAATACAATGTGATGTTGCAGATTGTTCTTCTTGGTTGACCAGAAAAGAGTGCTATCATGCATTAGCATTGTTGCACCGTCATGCTAAGGATACAGAGAAAGCTTTAGAAGTGTGGTCAAAAATTATAACTGGAGACTATAAAGATGACAATTTTCATGGTTTGCCCTTTTTTGTGGAATGTTTGGCAAATTTGAAAGAACATGATCTTGTCTGGCGGTATGCAGATTTTGTATTGGGAATTGACGAAGTTGTTGGAGTTGGAATTTTCACTTTACGGGACAATGATGACTCCAGTACTGATACCATGAAACCTGACACAATTATAGATTATCTTCATAAATATCCAAAGGGTGTCATCTTGTATCTTGAACATTTAGTGCTGAAAGAAAATATCCCAATGGAAAAATATCACACACACTTAGCAATGTTATATCTTGAAAACATTGCAAAATATAAAAAGATTGGTGAAGAAGAGAATTTTAATGCTACAAGAAATAAATTGAGAGAACTACTTCAGCAGTCCAACCTGTATCGAATTCAGTTACTCTTAGGGAAAATGCAAGAAGCTAATTTGCCAGAAGAAACTGCAATTTTGTATGGAAAACTAGAAGAACATAGAAAAGCCCTAGATATACTTATTGGACAGCTTAAAGACTTTTCTGCAGCAGAGAAATATTGTGTAACCAACAGTGAGGGAAAAGATATAAGGTATCGTAACAATTTGTTTTTCACTCTACTAACCACGTATTTGAATCCAAAATTAGATCCAGAAGTAAGAGAAGAGTACATGAGACCTGCCATGGATTTGCTGAATGCTCGACCTGTAGATTTTGATGCTGTAAAGGTGATGGAGATTCTTCCTTCCAATTGGTCAATTGCTGGATTGGAACCATTTCTAAGGGGGGCTCTTAGAGCTTCAATGCACAGGTATAGAATGAGTAAACTTGAAGCTGCCCTTGCTCGAGGAGAAAACTTGCAACAGCAAATTGCTCTTTATGAAACTCAGAAGAAAAAAATTGTAATGTAAATGCATATTATGTACATTTATGTGTATTTATTCATGTAAAATTACATTCCCTCTGTGAGGTATGATTGTAAATGTAGAAAACTTAATTTTGTGTATGTTGAACTGAAAAAGGTATGAATGAATTGTGAATTTTGTTATTCTGTCTAGAAAAGCTGTAAATATTCAGGTTATCTTATATTTAAATTTATTATATCTTCACTTTATGAAATAAAGTGTTATAAAAAAGATTACTGTTTTTATCTTCCTTGCATAAAACTAAATTACTTCCTCTACTTATGTGGGTATAAAGATAGATTTTGGTATGTAAGCTAAAGTACCAAGATATGTTCTATGTTAAATGAGTTCAGTGTTCAGCCGTCATACTTACGTGTTATTTGTAATTTGTCATTGGGGGGGGGGGGAGTAAAGAAAAGCCCATTGGAGAAAATGGAACTACATTTTGCCCCAAATATAAGTCTGGTTTATTTTTAAAACTTTTGAATGAAAAAGGGTTATAATTTTGACTTTTAATACAATAATTAGCCTGAATCTATTTTCATATTTTAACCATTCATCCTGTGTTTGGTCCAAGATATTAATGATATTCAAAGTTGATTTCAAAAATAGTTTAGCAGATTTTGTCACACTCATGACTAGGGGTCAGAATTTGAGTTGTTCCAGAATGAAAAGACAGAAAATGACATTTCATTAAAATCGCCTCCCACTCGTGACACATTTAATGCGTAGTAAAAAGTTTCGGGCCTGCTGAAGAATTATGGATTGTTTGTGAAGATTATTGCAGCAAATGAAAGATTTTTTTTTTATCAAAAGGTCCTGTTCCGTTCCAGTGCTGGACAAGGATTATTGAGCCAAGTTCAAGTGAATGGTAAAAAGAAAAGCATTGCATTTAGCTAACTAATAGAGTTGTTTGGAAAGAAATAGAAAATAATTATGAAGATACAGTAAATAAGATCTTGTATTATGAATAAGATTTTTATTCTGATAGAAAAATTAATATGAATACTAGAATGTTAATCAATGTGATAAAGTGTGCTTGTTTTTTTCAAATCTGTTTACAATATAAATTTTCAAATATTCTAATTGAATGGGAAAATTATTACATCATTGTTGAAATTGAATTGAAACATTTTAATTCTCAATTCATGTACAAAATTTGTTTTTCTGTTATTGTAAGCCATCATATTATTATTCTGTTTTCCCAAAAGTTATTTACTAGTAGAATTTTAAAGTAAATAATTTTATGGCGAAAAAGTTTGAAAAAGAGAACTTGCGTCAAATGAAAAGAAAGGAAATGGGATGGCAATGTGAGTTACTGAACCATATAATTCAATAGTAATATTTCTTCAAAAATTATTTTTTTAAACGTGATAGTATTTGCATTGTGTATGACAAGTTAAATATGACGTATGTGGGTACACATTTCTTCTTGAGTTCCAGAATGCCTACTTTTTTACTTGTTGAATTACACACAGAGTAAAGTAAAAACATAGTATTTTAATAGAACACTAAAATTGCATGGGCAAGTGATCTTCAGATTTGATTATGAACATACTGCTGTCAAATAACTAATCTTCAAGCCTGGAAAAAGAGCTCAAGAAAACTTGTGCAGAGAGTGAAGTGGGATTTACAATCCAGAATCAAAGCAAGGTGTCATCTCTGCATTTGCTCAAAGGATCAAGGGAATTGGATGAAAAACTTGATTGTGTTAGTGTCATGACCTTAGAGCTGAATTACAATACTTGTTTCAGATAAATAAAATAAAATATTATACTGTCAAATAATTGTAGTGCCAAGGAATTTACATTTGAAGTTTACTTTGTACTGTTTCAATTTTAAAATAAAATTCATCTACCAACTGTATAGTAATATCTTTTTTTTTTTTTCATTGAGAATATTTTTTAACAGTATTAGTGTTAACAATATCTGATGCATTCACCAATCCAGGGTGAAGGAAATATCATTTATATCTGGTCATTCTGCTTGTATGTCAGTCCTTCTGCAATTGGACACTGTATGAGATATAATAGTTCTTTTTTGTTTGTTTCAGCTCAAAATAGAAAGTCAAATGGGATAATAATTATTATTTATTAAGGAAAGTAGTGTGATTTTTTGTGTATTTCTTTACACTGTAGATCATGTTAAGCATGAAAGCTGTCAATTTATTTTTAAATGTATGTATTGTGTTTGTATTTGATATCATGGCCAGTTTGTTGTAGAATGTAATTAGGGAACTTTTTTGTGATAAAGTGTTCCAGAGTGGGGAACATGTAGGTTATCCTTTTTATGAGTGTTGCAGTTGTGGACATCAGAATTTAGAGTAAAAGTGTCTTTGTTTTCCGTAGAATCTTCTTGTTGAAGCCCAATATTTCAAATATATACATGAATGAGTGCTTAGTTTATTTGAACAAGGATTTTGTCTTGTAAGACTACAGCTTAAGAGTGCTAGTCACAGTATTCATTTTTGGATAATAAGTGTGCAAGAACTTCTAGAGGCATTTCCCCATTATATTATTCCATATTTCAGGCGTGAATGCACAGTTGCAAGTTTCTCAATGTTGCAGCTTGATCTGCAAGTCTATGGGGCATAGCAAAATTTGGTGAGCTTGTTAAGACCTGAGATGTGAGCATTTCAATTCAGGTTTACTTCAGGCCAAGGAAGGTAGTTATTTATCAGCAAATGCTATGAGACTTTTTTTTGGATAGGGGATTCATGAAATTTAGAGATGCTGCTCTGCTAATGTTTATTATGTTTGTTACCTTGAAACCATTTTACTAGTGCATGCAAGGTTTTGTTAGTTTCTTTTTCTAATGATTGTTGTGTTTTTGCTTTGATGATTATTTTTGTAACATCTGCAAACAAAATTATTTTGTTATTTCTTAAAACCATAGTCTAAGGAATAGTATTGACTCGAGAATGGAACCTTGTAGGGCTCCACAATTTGATCATCAGAGGTAAGAGTAGTATGAGAAGTTGTTTTCTTTAATGTGCTGAGTACAGTTTGATAAATATGATTTGATCCATTGGCCTGTGAATAGGGTTGCTATGCATCCCGAAAAATTGGGATATGTCCTGAATAGCAACATGTATCCTGCTATCCTGCCAGATTTTTCTTTGTGCCAAATGTCTTCACTTTTTATACTCTGTTATAATTCCACTCAGTCTTTTGGTACTATTTGTGAAATACAAGAACTATGAGACTACATAGAGAATGTGGTAAAAATAAGCAGCTAATTTCTTTGTTAATCAAATATTGTTATTTTTGTATTCTTATGGTGCAATCTGAGAGCTGAAAATATATGAAGAAAGGTACTAGGTGATTTGAATCGAAGTGCATCTATCCATCACAATTTGCCAGAGTATCTGAAATGCAAAGGCAAAAAGGGCTCAGTCAATAACAGTCATTTAATATTGATTGAAGTAATATTATATTTTAATATTTTGTTCAGTATAATATTTTATTTAAATAACTTTAAATACTTCCCAAAAATTTTTCATGGAAAAATAAGAAAATGACCTGGATAATCTGGAAAAGTCAATGAAATTTGTCCTAGAAAAAGAGTGGCCACCCTGTTATTCTTGAAAATATGCAACATAATTTATCTTGATCTACTATTTAATGAGATTTATTTGATGTACTATTTAGTTGTACAAAAATAAACAATTTGCTCTGAAACATATTTCGAATGTCCTGAATTCCATTGGTATCTTTATGGCAACCCTACCTGCAATGCCTCGGATACCTAGCATTTCTAGATTTGTTAAGCACAAAGCAAGTTACTAATTTCAACAGCATCAAAACATTATAAAAAACAAATTTAGTTCTTACACCACAAAAAGTCATAGAAGAGCAAACACTATGCATTCTGAAAAGGAATAAGCAGGAAGGATATATGGGGATATCTAATAAACAAAAGGAGGATCAATACATCCCATTTCATATACTTCTATATCTATTCTATTTAGCAGTTACTGTACGACCCTAGTTGTTTTCTGTATCCCAATTTTTATCTTTTTATCCCACATGTCTTTTTCTTCTATTTCTCTTTTCTCTATGACTCCAGTTGTTACCATCTTCCTTGTCCTTCTTGGTGTCCCTCCGTGTCTTCTTCAATTGGGTATCCATTTCCAAATTTTTTATGGAAGTGTTGTCAGATTTCAGCCTTCTTGGATCTGCATATCATTTTAGATATTTAATGTCAATTATCTCAACAAGGTTGTTTGCACTTACATTTTATTTTTTATTTCATCATTTCTTATTTTGTCTAACTGAGAAAGTTTTCATCTTCACCACATCTTTTCTGTTGTATGTGAAGTAGGTCTCATTATTTGTTAGCCTCCAGTCTTCTGCCCCCACAGAGCATTGTACTCTCTGTGAAGGAGCTTTATATGCATTTCTTTGTCTTCGTTGAAATAATTGCACTCCATAGTACTGGATTCAACTGTCTAGTGTTTTTTTTCTTTCCATTTTTATTTTTTACTCTACTGATAGACTATCAACTGCGGTTTGTGTGACTCTCAAATATTTATATTGTGTATTACCTTTAATCATTCCTGTATTAGGCTCTAAATCTCGGGACATCTCTCCACTATCACACACTCTGTCTTTTGCACATTTATTTCCATTCTCTTCTTTTTATACCCTTGCACTAAACTTTCTACTCTTCTTTCTAAACATATGTTACATCACCTTCATCTTGTGATGTTCCCACCTGGTGGTCTACCAATAGTAGACTAAATGTTTCATTGCCTATGTTCACACCCACACTTCTACATTTCTTTCACATTCTTTTAATTATTTATCAACATTCTTTATATCCCGAGAAGTCAGAGATTTTCCCACATTTACTTGAGCTTATATAGAAATCAGAAGTTAAGTAAACATGGAAAAATATACTTTCTTCTTTTTCAAATGATTGATTGTCACTTAATTATATTTCACTTGATATGAAATCCACTTATTTTGACAATAAGGGAAGGACCATTATCCAAATAAAAATTA